GAGCAAAGGGATAGAAAATGATAATTCGAGGGTAGTAAATGATTGGGCTACATCGAGAATATGACATGGTTTAACATAAGTCGGTGCTTGCATGCTCCATTCAAATAGAGTAGAAAGCCTTACGACTTCTTCTTTCAAGGCTTTTATCTCTCTCCGATGGGTTTGCTCTAATTGAGCTCTTTCTTCATTCTCTATATTTAGTTAATCTCATTTTGTAAACTATTGAAGGAAGTGTGATTTTAGCGATAGGATCTATATTTTTCACAAATAAAATACATCACATAAATAACATATTATTATAAATGATACTAAAGACTTGATATTGAGTAGTCATTTAAGAGGGGTTACAAAAAAACTATTCTTCTTTTTTATTTTTTTCTCATAAAATTGCTTGTGCTTAGTCTAATGATTTGTTATTCACATCGGTGGCCTTTGGATTTTCTTCTTCGATCGAAATCTAAATCAACCATCCAGACCTCCTAAATTCTCAAGTGAATGGTGTCACTCAATTGGAAAGAAAAAGTCGATATCATTCATCGATAGGATCGTTAAATTGGGTTGCCTTACCCAATTTGTTAGATGAGATTTTAATCTATATAATAGACAATACAATGAATATAAAGATGTTGAAGCTTTCATTAACCAAATATCCAAAATGATGATTGCAAAGGCCTAAAATAGTTTAGAATAGATCTTCTTTTACATAATAAAAGGGAAAGAAACTCATACAATGAAAGAAGAAATACAATCAAAAAAAGCCATGCCTCAATTACAAGTTGTCAAAGTCAACACACTTCAAGTCTAAGTCTTTTTGGACCTAATGGTAGAGTGGTTTCTAGTGTTCACCCTTGGTGGCTATGATTTGCTAAGTTTGTAGATCTTGTTTTAGATCTAGCATCTTTCTCTTGCATTTCTTCCCCTTTTTTTTATCTTTAGCAAGTTAATAGATAGCTTCAAATTCTCAATCCCGAGCAACTTTATTTTTCTATTAACGTCGTGATAGTATGAAGGAATCAATTTTGAGGGATCATCTATTTTTCTCCTTTTTCTTTTATATTGGCTAGATGAGACACTTAGAACTTATGGAAAGAGTGTCTTATTTTCTTAGGTAAACTAGCTAGTCCTAACCTCTAATGATCTAGAAAGATTCTTGATACCAACAAAGATTAAGGGTTCTTGACTAAGTTGATGGCCGTACATTAAAACTTATCTATCTTGACCTCGGCTTATTTGATGACCTAAGTGCTTTACATTTATGGCTTGCCATAAGGGATAAGCTTCAATAGTAGCTATCTCATAACCATCCGTCTTTCCACTTACCATTTCGTATGCTAATTAGTCTTTTATGATATGAGCTAGGAAAGTAAGTGAAGCTTCTTTTTTAAGTTCCCTTTGAAGTCGACCAAACCAATTATTCTTAAAATGCATTACTTATAGCTAAGTTACCTAGACACCATATTGGGAGCATAACTTAAATATCTTATTGATTTGACTAGAGGGACTAAGAAAAAGTTCTATAATAAGTAAAGTATGATGCTTGGTTCATCCAAACGGCCTTCCACAAGAATTAGGCATTAGGTAGGTCAAGTATCATGGCATTCAATTCTTGCTCGGTATGGCTCTTCCATGATGTAATTATAAACCTTTTTAATAACTCTTGAACTTTCTATCGACAGAGTCAAAGGTTGATCTATGTACTTCCATATGACTAACCATCCATATGCATAACAATTGCATATAGCTTCTTATCTCTTCCTTATTGAATCTTCGATAGTGATTCAATGACAATATGGTATTAGCTAAAATCATAATAGTGGGTTAATTGAGTTCTTCTCTATCTCAATGAAAACATTAACGGTGTCAAAACCGATTAGTCCAATAGAGGGTAAAAATAAAATCAAGTTAAAGATACACAAGGTTAGGACTTAAAATTTCTTTAAACTAGTACTCGACTCTCTTAAGCTTTGTTTAAATATATCTAGTAAGGCTTCATGATGCCATCCTTCGGTGGCATCTTTAGTTTATGCTCGACTTAGATTTACACTCGACCATCTTTCGACCTTATCATTCACTTTTCCATATCGATAATAGAGATAGTCTTGATACAAAGGATTCCGTATTTGTAATAACCGATGGTACTATTTTATTGTAGGAGTCATGTCTATGTTTCCCATAATGAAGCAATGATACGAAGGGTCCCATAGAGATACGAGAGCCCTCAACATAGGCTTTTGGATCGATATCTTTATTAGTTTATCCAAGTTTCTATGTTTGTTCCGGAACTCCTATTTAACATCGGCGGTCGGGAGCTCCCAACATTCAAGGATTTTGTTGGTGTCATTAATCATTGATTATATTTTGGTTATCAACCGATGATCACTCTAAAATCCTTCTTCAAGGCAATCCCCTCTACTCACTAAAAGGTTTTGAAATTTTGTTTGAAAGATTGGTGTTAACTTGAACTCGTATCTAAGCTCTTTTGTCACACATCTTGAAACATCATGACTAAATTAGTTTAGTCATGGTTTCTAACATGTCCGACTTGATCATTATATTTAAAAAAGGAGAGACAATCTTAGTGTCTAATTTTAACTATTACATAAGTGGATAGGCTTTACATATGTCTCAAACGGGTACCCTCTAGCCTAGGGAATCTTTAGTAGAATCTTTAAGACTGTCTATGGTGACATCGGCAATTGTGAAAAATCATCCATTATCCATCACCAATGGTAACTAGTAAGAAGGCTTAGGGTTTCATGAGTGTTTACCTAAAGCAAAATCCAATAAGATACCACTACTAACTCTTTAAATCCTAAATCAAAAACATGCAATAATGATAATTATATAGCAAGGAGTGTAAGGAATAACTCCATATCCAATCTCAAAATGTGAAATAAAGTCAAAAATTAAATAATTAGAACTACAAGGAGAAAGAACACAAACACACATATATACAATCAATTTTCACAACAAAAATAGATAAATAATTAAATAACAATTACTCAATCAAAACATATAGGCATAGAGGCATAATAAACAATCAAAGATTTATGAATATAGACATTCAAAGCTTGACCCTAGCATGGCAATTCCTTAGTGGAGTTGTCATTCCGTCGATGTCGACCCACAATAGGAGATGAGATCATGAGTAAACCAAAAGTCACCACCAAGCTAATCAAGGAGAGCTAGTAAACCCTAAACATATTAGTCTATATAGATATATAAGGGTAAGTGATTGGTTATTTATGGGAAAGATATAACATCACCCCTATCTCATCCTATATAATAAAGTAGCTCGTATTGTTTGCATATGAGTATAAAAATCTTATTTTTTTATCGTATTATGCTTCTATGCCTACCTAAGTGAATTTATTTTGTTAAGATGTAAAAATATAGTTTGGGGGTTGGATGTAAAACAAAGTAGTTTGGAAGGTTCAAGTCTAAGGCCAATACCCCCTATTCAAAAGGAAAGTAGGATACAATTGAAATCTTAACTAATCTTTAATAAACATTACCAATTACCAATAAGTAAGTGAGTTTTTAAATATAGGTAGCTTTTTATTAGCATGAGAAATGAGTCATTAATGACTTCACTCATATAAGTGGAAAGCCACCGATGACTTCGAGTCCCGAATTAGGAAGGTCGCTAACAACTTCATCACATAAGTAGGAATTTATCAGCCACTTTATTTAGCTTGTGTAAGGAGTAAATAACTAGTTTGGAAACCACTAATGGCTTTATAACACAAATAGAAAATCACTAATGACTTCATTTTAAATAAGTAGACAATAAAATAAAATAATTTTGAAACCACTAACGACTTTGTCACATAAGTGGAAAGCCAACGATGACTTCCTTTCATCAATTCAAAGTTAAATAAAATTAGTTCGGGAGTCACTAGTGGCTCCATCCACATAAGTGGGAAGCCACGATGGCTATATTTTGAGCAAATAAAAAATAGATAAAATGATTTTCAAACCATCAAAGACTTCATCACATAAGTAGGAAGCCACTTTTAGCTTTGTTTCGAGCATTGCAATCAAGTACAATAAGTCAATCAAACCACCAAAAATAGAAACAAACCACATTTAAACTATAAATACTTAAATAGAGTAACTCGTTTGTAATTATAATTATAGTAACATTCATCTCAAACAACATTTAAGCCATGAATATAATAATGAAATGCTATAATTTTATTCACATTTGAAATAGTACAAATTGTTGTGGGATTTTTACCTAAAAAGCTTTGTAGTTCAAGTATCGAATTTGGAGGTCAATTCTATTTTTTTTTCTTTTGTCCCAATGGTAGTTGATTATTCATCTAGCTAGGAAAGAAAAGTAATTGCTCATTTCTAAAATATTATATGCGTCCTACTAAAGTGCCTCAAAGCCGCTACTATGGCCAAAGTTATTGTAAATTTTATAGTAACTCCGTAAACTTGCAACTTCTCGGAAAGTGGCTAATATTGTCGCAACTTGAGAGGGCTTGGTAACGAAGTTACTACTATGTTTTTCCTATCAAAAACAAACACAAACATATTCCATAATTTCATATTGTTCTTACAAAGCACAATCAATTCAAATAGTAATTTGTTTTAATGTAAACTAGTTAGTTGGCTATTGGTTTTGGGTAAGGCTACGTGGTCATTGGAGGGTCTACCTAGTGTGAGGGGAGGGGAGAGGTCGCTCGATTGTTGCTACCTAACACATTGGTCGCCCGATGTTATGAGAGGCGAGTACGAGGGCATCCGCGATAGGTGCCGTGAGGTTGTGGTGATGTGAAGGGTCGTTGGGCTAGCGCTATTAGTTGGCGAGGTAGGGCTACTAGCCGGCACTATTGGCCGGCAAGGTAGGGCTACTCGTGGAGGGTCGCTAGGATAACGTTACTTATCGGATAGAGGGCTATAAGGTTCTAGTAGTTGGGTGTTTAGCTATTATGAATGGCTATTGAGAGGGGCTGAGTGGGTTGGCTACTAGGCTATTATGAAGGGTTGTTATGAGGGGTTGCATAGGGTTCGTTGCTAAGCTATTGCAAAGGGTTGTTACAAGCAGCTATGGGCAATGGCATGAGAGGTTGGGCGATGAGGAGGTGAGGAAGGCTATAAGGCTCGGGCTATATGAGGTTAGATTGTAGGTGTTCGGATAATGTGAGAGGGAGGGAATTGGTCGATAGTGCGTTGCAAGGTTGGGGGAGGAAGAGGTGAGGAAGGCTATGAGGGCTTGCAAGGGAGATGGAAAAGGTTGTGTATGGGTGCTTGGACTTGGGTGAGTAAGATTTTTGAGTGCTTGTGAGGTTGCGAAAGGGTGGTCGGTTTTGGGTGAGACATTTTTGTTACGGAGAGTTAAGGGGCAAAGGTTTTTCCGAGGGTAATCTCGAGTATGTTATACCAAAAAAAGCAAGGGGGCTTTTATAGGCATTTTTTAGGTTTTTGGACAAAAGTCCAATTTGATCCCTAATTTCCTATAACCCACTAATTTAAATCTAATTTTGGTCGTTTGTTTCCATAGGAACCTTAAATCTCAATTAATTAGGATTTTTTTTAATTTCTTCCATTATGCCCCCTCTTTATTTTAATTAAAGGATAGAAGTTTTGAATTTTTTTTCTTAAATCTCCCTAAACTTTCTCTTCTTTTTAATTACTCCCCTCCTAGAACTAATCTAAGCTAATTGTTTTAATCTTTTTTTTTATCTTTTTCTTCCCTTTTTCCTTTTACACTTTGCATTTTTTTTCTTGTTGATTATTCTTATTTTTTTGGTATTTTTGTAATAAAAATAAAAATAAAAGTAAAAATTAATGAGGGCAAAAATTAAGTGTTAACATTGTTCATGAGATGAATGATAACGGCTCCACCGGACTACTAAATGCAAAGATTAGTGTTATTACTATACTTGTAAATTTTTAATATTTTTTAAAACTACCATGTACAACGAGCTTATTACTCAAGTGTTGCAATTCTTTAAGTCTCTTAATAAAATGAACAAGTTTTATGGAAATTTTATCTTTATTATATTTATTTTTTTCTATTATGAAAAAATAAAAAACTATATGCTTGTCATTTCAAGTAATGACATTTTAGGTTGTTTAATCATGTCCATTTGAATCAACTAAATATTAATTAGACCATGAGCTCATCATGCTTCGTTGTACTTTTTTATGGTTGGCCATAATTGATCATGCCATGTCTATTTTCGTAATCTACACAATGACTAAGTTCGTGAGCTCATCATGCTTGATTACTTTTCCGATGGTTGATCGCCTTTGACCTTGCTATGTTCCGTCTAAACTATCATGTCATCATTCTAGATTACTTTTCCGATTGCTAGTTGCCTTAGACCATAACATGTTTATTTGGCTAAACTACATGCTAGTCAAACCGCAAACTCATCATGCTCACTTACTTTCTTACTAGCTGGTCGTTTGCTATGTTTATTTGGCCAAATTACATGACTACTAGACTCGTGAGCTCATCATTCTTAGTTAACTTTGGAGCCAAAACGTCCATGAGGATTTGAGGCAAAAATTTTAGAGTAAATTATTTAGAGGGGCTGAAATAATTAGTCTTCATTCATTTATTTAGTTATTTTTTATTTATCATTTTCACATAAGAATTCTTATTTGTATTAAGGTTTTATTTTGGTCTTTAGTTGGGCTTGCATCTATATTTAATTAGAAGTCCACCTTTATTGTGGATTCATAATTAAAATAGAGTATGTGTTTATATAAGGAGTCTATATTTAATTTGAACCAGAGTTAATTAATCTTTATTAAGTTTGGATTGAACTTTAGGTTTTTTAAGTCTAAATCAGTTTATGAAGTTTATTTCGAGTCTATTTTCTAATTAGAGTTCTTTTTATATTTGGACTTTAACTAGGATTTTTAAGAGCTAGTAGTTAAGCAAACTTTTTGCTACTTTGTATGGAAGTTTTTTTTCATATATCCGATAAATAAATTGAAGAATTTTTGCTACATCTTTTAGTATTTTTCTTTGTTTGGAGTAGCTAGGATTTCATGAATGCATCCTTATGGTAATCGAATAAAGTGGGTTTAGATCAATTGCATCCAAATTTTTTATGATGGTGAAACCGTATCCGCAAGTTCTTGATGTACATATCTCATAAGTTCTACTAATTTTCTTTGAGGTGGTGGACTCTACATCAAGGGAGACTATTTTAGAACTTGTATCTTTTATTTTAATTATGAATTTATTTAGAAATATTTAGGATTTAATCCTAAGTTGGAAAAACTTATAATTGACATCGTTTTAACTTATTTAGGTTATTTAAAATTTTGAAAAAATCTAAAAATAAAAGGGGTAATTTGATAGTATCAAAGTTTATTGAAAATCAAAGTTGGTCAAGTTTAATAGCTAGACATTATTTTATTGGGTTATTTGAGTTGCTTAATTACTTGAGGTAGATATATTGAATATTTGAAGTTTTTTAGTGGCTAATTCATTGGTCATTAGTTTCAACCATAGGTGTTTTTTTTTTTTTTTTTTTTGTGTTTAAATTTCCACATAGTTAACAAATCTCTCAATCCAACATTTTTTTCCAACCCCATTATTTGCTTTTTAATCCTTACTTCAATATAAAGAAAAAGATGAACAATATTCCAAGTAGTGAATGAGAACCATTCAAAGGAATGCAAACAAACATAACACACACACACACACACTCTCTCTCTCTCTCTCTCTCTCTCTCTCTCTCTCTCTCTCTCACACACACACACACACACACACACACACACACACACACACACACAAACAAATAAACATAACACACACACACATACACCATGTCATTAGTAGGTTAAAGTTTGATTAAAGAAAAAAGATCACCACACAAGGTATCATAGCTCATTTTCAATTCTAAAATTTGATAAAATTTATTTATTCAAAATCTCAAACAATAAAAATATATATTTAGGATTTTTCACATGTTTTAGTTATTTTCTTGGTTTTTTAAAAGCATCCTTGTATTTTTTTTTCTCTTTCTTATTTTCTCGGGAAACAAATTAAATGAACAAGCAAAGAAAAAATGTGATTGAAAAAAGGTAAGAAAAATTTTTTAAAAAAAAATCTAGAGGAAAAAAACAATAGACATGAAATATCGAGAAAGTTAGAATAAAAACAACATTTAAAAAAAAAAAAAAACCAAGAAAGCCGGAAGAAAAACAACATTAAATTATCAAAAATTGCAAGAGAGAGAGAGAGAGAAGTGCAAGGAAAATTTTGAAAGATAATAAATACCAAAAAAGACCAAAAAAAGACAAAAAAAAAAAGATTAAAAGAAAAAAGATATAGAGGTGAAATTAAAATGAATAAATAAAATGAGGAATATAGAAAATAAAATAAAATAAAAATTAGTTAATTGAAGGATACAATTTAGGAAAAAGAGGCTCAAAACTAAAATAAAAAAAAGACAAAGAAATAAAGAAATTAGAAAAAAAAAAAAAGGCATAAGTTGAATGATGTCGTATTGATGGGTGCATAATAATAATAATAATAATAAACCGGGATAAGTCGTTTCATCCTCGTTTGAGGGCGTATTTATGCACCTTTTTCCTCTCCTCCTCCCTCTTTCATTTTTGCTATTGCTTTCTTTCTTTCTTTCTTTTTGGGCAAGAAAACCGAAAACTCTCTCTCTCTCTCTCACACACACACACACACATGCTCCATATCTTGTGAAAACCTAACCAACATGCCTCCTCTCTTGTCAATCCTAAAAAGAAAAAAAAAAGACAACAAAAAAATAGCAAAATAGCGCCACTAACAAACTCATTGAACTCTCTACCCATTGCAAGGATACAATACAGATTGCAAAGGCTTTCAAAGGCTAAAATGACTCCCTCATATCCAAGAGTTAAGGTTGAGCCGGATATATAATGTTCGATGAGTAATTATAAATTAGTGCATCACATTTCGAGAAACAAAGTAATTAGTCTTTTTCATTTAAGAAATTAATTATTTAGTCTCCATATTTTAAAATTTACTTGTAATTTAATCTTTTTTACTCTTTTTAATTATTTTGATTTTTTGTTTTAAGAAATAGCAAAAAAAAATATGAAAAGATTAATGAGAAAATAAGAGATTTTGTTGAATAAAAATAATATTAAATTAAGCATTATCAATACTAATTAAAAAACTAAATAATAATTCTTGAAACAAGAGGGACTAGTTAATTTGCTTCTTAAAACAAGAGGGACTAATTTATAATTTACTCAATTTTCTATTCGCTTCCGTTGTGACTATGAAAAGATAAAAAAAAATGGAGGGAATTGATTTTCGGTTGCGTAGCAAAAGAAATGAGCGATGAGAAAGATAAAACGCAAGAGAGCTAATTTTTTATCAATGTTTTAATTTTTTTGGTTTAAAAACAAATGATTTTTGAAACATCCTTTCATCCCTCCCTTACTATCATATCTTCTTTCCCTCTTCAATAGGTATAATTTCCCTTCTTATCACCTTATTTTCATGTAAAAAATGTAGGCCTCAATTATCCTTATGCAATAATTATTTTTTGATGGTTGGTGTTTTAGTCATTTAAGTGTTTATTTATTTATTTATTTATTGCCATTCTCTCCTTTTCTTTTCTTTTTTTTAATATATAGTTTTGTCCCTTATCTCTTTGTACCCAAAAGTTGGTCGAAAACCGACCACTTCTCCCCTTTCAAGTCGGGATGTTGGTGAAGGTTGATAAGGATTTGTTTGAGCTCTTAAAAATGGGAAAAAAAGAAAAAGAAAAAAGAGTTAAACATAGGAAAAATTATAATGAGCAAGAGGGAGAAAAAGAGGGGGAAAAGGCTACTAGAAATGGAATAAATTATAAATTAGTTCTTCTCATTTCAAGAAACAAATTAACTAGTATTTGTTTTAAAAAATTAATCATTTAGTCTTCGTATTTTTAAATCTCCTTGTAACTTAGTCATTCTTCTCTTTTTTATTTATTTTCATTTTTTTCAAGAAATAAAAATATGTATATAAATTAAAAGATTAATGAGAAAAGCAAACATAATGTAGAATAAAAATAATATTAAATTAATTATTATGAGCACTAGTCAAATAATTAAATAATAGTTTTTGAAATAAATGAGATTAATTAATTCATTTCTTGAAAGCAAAGAGAATAATATATATATATATATATATATATATATATATATATATATATATATGGCAATTTTAGTTCATTTTAATCCTTTTTTTTGTTATTTTGCTTTGTATGGCTTTAATGGTCCGGCTTTATATGTTTTCAATTCGCCCCTCATT